AACCCACAATTTTGCAGGGGTACCCCTAGGAAAAAATTCGAAAAATTTAAAAACGATATTAAGGCAATGTTTTGGATGAGGAAAGTAGCTTTTGAGTTTCCTGATTACAAAACGGTACTTTATTTCCTGATCGGATACAAATTGGAAGAGCTTTGGCCACCGGCAGGAGAAAAAGTGTCAAAATTGCGAAAACCCACAATTTTGCAAGGGTACCCCTAGGAAAAAATTCGAAAAATTTAAAAACGGTATTAGGACAATGTTTTGGATGAGGAAAGTAGCTTTTGAGTTCCCTGATTACAAAACGGTACTTTATTTCCTGATCGGAGAGAAATTGAAAGAGCTTTGGCCACCGGAAGGAGAAAAAGTGTCGAAATTGCGAAAACCCACAATTTTGCAGGGGTACCCCTAGGAAAAATTCGAAAAATTTAAAAACGATATTAAGGCAATGTTTTGGATGAGGAAAGTAGCTTTTGAGTTTCCTGATTACAAAACGGTACTTTATTTCCTGATCGGATACAAATTGGAAGAGCTTTGGCCACCGGCAGGAGAAAAAGTGTCAAAATTGCGAAAACCCACAATTTTGCAAGGGTACCCCTAGGAAAAAATTCGAAAAATTTAAAAACGGTATTAGGACAATGTTTTGGATGAGGAAAGTAGCTTTTGAGTTCCCTGATTACAAAACGGTACTTTATTTCCTGATCGGAGAGAAATTGAAAGATCTTTGGCCACCGGAAGGAGAAAAAGTGTCGAAATTGCGAAAACCCACAATTTTGCAGGGGTACCCCTAGGAAAAATTCGAAAAATTTAAAAACGGTATTAGGACAATGTTTTGGATGAGGAAAGTAGCTTTTGAGTTCCCTGATTACAAAACGGTACTTTATTTCCTGATCGGAGAGAAATTGAAAGAGCTTTGGCCACCGGAAGGAGAAAAAGTGTCGAAATTGCGAAAACCCACAATTTTGCAGGGGTACCCCTAGGAAAAAATTCGAAAAATTTAAAAACGATATTAAGGCAATGTTTTGGATGAGGAAAGTAGCTTTTGAGTTTCCTGATTACAAAACGGTACTTTATTTCCTGATCGGATACAAATTGGAAGAGCTTTGGCCACCGGCAGGAGAAAAAGTGTCAAAATTGCGAAAACCCACAATTTTGCAAGGGTACCCCTAGGAAAAAATTCGAAAAATTTAAAAACGGTATTAGGACAATGTTTTGGATGAGGAAAGTAGCTTTTGAGTTCCCTGATTACAAAACGGTACTTTATTTCCTGATCGGATACAAATTGGAAGAGCTTTGGCCACCGGAAGGAGAAAAGTGTCGAAATTGCGAAAACCCACAATTTTGCAGGGGTACCCCTAGGAAAAAATTCGAAAAATTTAAAAACGATATTAAGGCAATGTTTTGGATGAGGAAAGTAGCTTTTGAGTTCCCTGATTACAAAACGGTACTTTATTTCCTGATCGGATACAAATTAAAAGAGCTTTGGCCACCGGAAGGAGAAAAGTGTCGAAATTGCGAAAACCCACAATTTTGCAGGGGTACCCCTAGGAAAAATTCGAAAAATTTAAAAACGATATTAGGACAATAGTTTGGATGAGGAAAGTAGCTTTTGAGTTCCCTGATTACAAAACGGTACTTTATTTCCTGATCGGATAGAAATTGGAAGAGCTTTGGCCACCGGAAGGAGAAAAAGTGTCAAAATTGCGAAAACCCACAATTTTGCAGGGGTACCCCTAGGAAAAATTCGAAAAATTTAAAAACGATATTAAGGCAATGTTTTGGATGAGGAAAGTAGCTTTTGAGTTCCCTGATTACAAAACGGTACTTTATTTCCTGATCGGATACAAATTGGAAGAGCTTTGGCCACCGCAAGGAGAAAAAGTGTCAAAATTGCGAAAACCCACAATTTTGCAGGGGTACCCCTAGGAAAAAATTCGAAAAATTTAAAAACGATATTAGGACAATGTTTTGGATGAGGGAAGTAGCTTTTGAGTTCCCTGATTACAAAACGGTACTTTATTTCCTGATCGGAGAGAAATTGGAAGAGCTTTGGCCACCGGAAGGAGAAAAAGTGTCGAAATTGCGAAAACCCACAATTTTGCAGGGGTACCCCTAGGAAAAAATTCGAAAAATTTAAAAACGGTATTAGGACAATGTTTTGGATGAGGAAAGTAGCTTTTGAGTTCCCTGATTACAAAACGGTACTTTATTTCCTGATCGGATACAAATTGGAAGAGCTTTGGCCACCGGAAGGAGAAAAAGTGTCGAAATTGCGAAAACCCACAATTTTGCAGGGGTACCCCTAGGAAAAAATTCGAAAAATTTAAAAACGGTATTAGGACAATGTTTTGGATGAGGAAAGTAGCTTTTGAGTTCCCTGATTACAAAACGGTACTTTATTTCCTGATCGGATACAAATTGGAAGAGCTTTGGCCACCGGAAGGAGAAAAAGTGTCAAAATTTCGAAAACCCACAATTTTGCAGGGGTCCCCCTAGGAAAAAATTCGAAAAATTTAAAAACGATATTAAGGCAATGTTTTGGATGAGGAAAGTAGCTTTTGAGTTCCCTGATTACAAAACGGTACTTTATTTCCTGATCGGATACAAATTGGAAGAGCTTTGGCTACCGGAAGGAGAAAAAGTGTCGAAATTGCGAAAACCCACAATTTTGCAGGGGTACCCCTAGGAAAAAATTCGAAAAATTTAAAAACGGAAAAAATTCGAAAAATTTAAAAACGGTATTAGGACAATGTTTTGGATGAGGAAAGTAGCTTTTGAGTTCCCTGATTACAAAACGGTACTTTATTTCCTGATCGGACAATGTTTTAGATGAGGACAATGTTTTGGATGAGGAAAGTAGCTTTTGAGTTCCCTGATTACAAAACGGTACTTTATTTCCTGATCGGATACAAATTGGAAGAGCTTTGGCCACCGGAAGGAGAAAAAGTGTCAAAATTGCGAAAACGCACAATTTTGCAGGGGTACCCCCTAGGAAAAATTCGAAAAATTTAAAAACGATATTAAGGCAATGTTTTGGATGAGGAAAGTAGCTTTTGAGTTCTCTGATTACAAAACGGTACTTTATTTCCTGATCGGATACAAATTGGAAGAGCTTTGGCTACCGGAAGGAGAAAAAGTGTCGAAATTGCGAAAACCCACAATTTTGCAGGGGTACCCCTAGGAAAAATTCGAAAAATTTAAAAACGGTATTAGGACAATGTTTTGGATGAGGAAAGTAGCTTTTGAGTTCCCTGATTACAAAACGGTACTTTATTTCCTGATCGGATAGAAATTGGAAGAGCTTTGGCCACCGGAAGGAGAAAAAGTGTCGAAATTGCGAAAACCCACAATTTTGCAGGGGTACCCCTAGGAAAAAATTCGAAAAATTTAAAAACGGTATTAGGACAATGTTTTGGATGAGGAAAGTAGCTTTTGAGTTCCCTGATTACAAAACGGTACTTTATTTCCTGATCGGATAGAAATTGGAAGAGCTTTGGCCACCGGAAGGAGAAAAAGTGTCGAAATTGCGAAAACCCACAATTTTGTAGGGGTACCCCTAGGAAAAAATTCGAAAAATTTAAAAACGATATAAGGACAATGTTTTGGATGAGGAAAGTAGCTTTTGAGTTTCCTGATTACAAAACGGTACTTTATTTCCTGATCGGATAGAAATTGGAAGAGCTTTGGCCACCGGAAGGAGAAAAAGTGTCGAAATTGCGAAAACCCACAATTTTGCAGGGGTACCCCTAGGAAAAAATTCGAAAAATTTAAAAACGATATTAAGGCAATGTTTTGGATGAGGAAAGTAGCTTTTGAGTTCCCTGATTACAAAACGGTACTTTATTTCCTGATCGGATAGAAATTGGAAGAGCTTTGGCCACCGGAAGGAGAAAAAGTGTCGAAATTGCGAAAACCCACAATTTTGCAGGGGTACCCCTAGGAAAAAATTCGAAAAATTTAAAAGCGATATAAGGACAATGTTTTGGATGAGGAAAGTAGCTTTTGAGTTCCCTGATTACAAAACGGTACTTTATTTCCTGATCGGATAGAAATTGGAAGAGCTTTGGCCACCGGAAGGAGAAAAAGTGTCGAAATTGCGAAAACCCACAATTTTGCAGGGGTACCCCTAGGAAAAAATTCGAAAAATTTAAAAACGATATTAAGGCAATGTTTTGGATGAGGAAAGTAGCTTTTGAGTTCCCTGATTACAAAACGGTACTTTATTTCCTGATCGGATAGAAATTGGAAGAGCTTTGGCCACCGGAAGGAGAAAAAGTGTCGAAATTGCGAAAACCCACAATTTTGCAGGGGTACCCCTAGGAAAAAATTCGAAAAATTTAAAAACGATATTAAGGCAATATTTTGGATGAGGAAAGTAGCTTTTGAGTTCCCTGATTACAAAACGGTACTTTATTTCCTGATCGGATAGAAATTGGAAGAGCTTTGGCCACCGGAAGGAGAAAAAGTGTCGAAATTGCGAAAACCCACAATTTTGCAGGGGTACCCCTAGGAAAAAACTCGAAAAATTTAAAAACGATATTAAGGCAATGTTTTGGATGAGGAAAGTAGCTTTTGAGTTCCCTGATTACAAAACGGTACTTTATTTCCTGATCGGATAGAAATTGGAAGAGCTTTGGCCACCGGAAGGAGAAAAAGTGTCGAAATTGCGAAAACCCACAATTTTGCAGGGGTACCCCTAGGAAAAAATTTGAAAAATTTAAAAACGATATTTAAGAATTGTTTTGAATGAGGAAAGTCTGGGTTCGCTTATTATAAAACGGTACTGTATTTCCTGATCGGATAAAAACTGGCGGTTTTGTGCTGATCGGAAAGGTCAAAAGTGGGGAAATTGAAAAATCCTCCAATTTCTCTAAAATTTCTCTCTCTACTTTGCACCTTTCGATGGCCATAGCTCCGATATTTTGCATCCGATCTGAAACTAAATTGAATCTTTTTTGGATTTATTTTTCCAACAAAGTACGCCTTGTTTTTCACACACCCTGAATAAAATTTACAACATAGAATAAAGTCGTCCTGGCTAAAACACTCATTAGCCTGCACTAAAGCAGACACTTTCTAACATTTCGAGTATCCAATTTTTTTTTAATGGACCAAAATTACCTACATTCCAAGATGTCCCGTCGTGTCATAAACGTGTATGTGCCACCGGTCAGCAGTTTCCCGGAGTTGAAACTTCTCGGCGGATATGGGCTTAAGGATCGGATCGAGCTGCCCAAAACGAGCGCAAAACCGAAACCCGAAAGGAGCACTGGGAACGTCATGCAGAAGGATCTGCACTATCTTTATGTCATCGATAGCATGGGTCGCCTTTTGGAGCATGTGCGGTATTATGGCGAGGACTATCGCTCGGCCCTGAGGGAATCCTTTGGCGGTGACCAGGACACCGAGGATGCACCGAAGAAGGTGACGGACTTAGTAGCGGAACTCCAATCACGTTCTTCGTCTCGACTTCCCACTGTTAGGCCCGAGACCCTCGGTCCTTGTAACCTGAGATTGTAAAAAAAAACACGAGGGATAATGGATTATCAAAACTTTAGTCAAATAGCACAAAAACGAATGAATTACATAAAGACAGAGGTATAAATTTTCTGTAAAAAAATTAAATGAATACTTTATGGCGCAAAATTCTGAAATAAATGTTAATATTTTGGATATTTATTATAGTTTTTATACCTAAAGGCCTTGAGCCAGCCACCTGTTACCATTTTTTCCCCTCCATTTCCTGGAACTTTTTTATATTGTTGTTTGTTATTGTTTTTTAGCTTCTGGGAAATTTTTGTGTTGCAGTTGGAATTATATTTACTCAACAGATGAGTCTCCCCACTCTTTTAAAGCACAACACATCCTTTAATCCTTTTCACAGGCACGAACCGCAGATAAAAATATTTGTATTTACTTTCTGGTCACAATTTGTGCGAAAAATGCATTTTTTATGAAGCCATCCCTAAAAATTGAGTATTAAAAAAGTGAAAAAATGTGCATGAAAATTATACAGAGTGCGGCATGGTATCTTAAACATACGAAGCTTCAATGAAAATATGTTTAGTAATTTTTTTTAAATAGAATATTTGCTTTGTCTTGCCGTGAAACCAAATTCCCTTACTAATTGGATAATAAGACAGGGAATTTGCTGCAGTTGCAGGACCTGCAGCTAAAGGATCATCTTACGCAAAAAGTCATCGGATTTCTGGAGAGTCAAGAGCAAAAATAACGTATACGTATAACAGTGACCGACTGGCCAATCGCCTTTGGCTCTACCTTGCCTAAAATTTATGACTTTTGTGCAGTGGCAGTGGCACTCGTTTCTGCCGCTCTGGCATTGTGTTAAATTTTATGTGCCCACTCGCCATGTGCCATGGCAACAGGTCAAAAAAGCCACTACTGGTCGGGGGCATGCCACGGCTTTTGCACTTAAAGCCATGGAAATTATAAAAAAAACCGATTGTATATATATGTAGATAAAAAAAAAATAAAGAAGGAGACAACTGCATTGCCATGGTAGCGGATCTAGTGTGTGCTTGCTTGTGTATCCTGGCACATCCTGGCATCTGGCATCACCTGCTCCCGGCCCTCGAATCTCAGCTGTTATGGAATACCAGGATTCCCTAATTGGATGGGGTTGTATTCTAGTCCATTGTCCAATACCGAATATCCACTGTACACAATACTTACTGTGTGTCCACGTGCCGGGCGTTTTCGAGTGTGAGTTCGAGTGTCTGCTGTACTTTCTTTTATTGACACAAATATGCAAGAATTGGATTTTCATCCTGGAGCTCTCAATAATTCCATATAATTAAATTGCCTTTTCTTTGAGTCTCGAATTTCCCAAAAAACCACAATGCAACAAATAAACAAAAAACAAATAAGCACAGACTAAAATTTGGCAGGAAAGTGCATTTTAGTTTTAATATTTGCTTGCACGGGTGTGGGGATGCATTTATTAAATATGTTCCATGTAAATGTAAACAGAAATATATGAATTTTAAATGAATATAAAATACAACTAAATAAATGCATGAATTTAAGTAGCAACATATTGATTTATGGTTTTATATGTAATACATTAATGCATTTTGCTGTTTTATTTCATGATAATCTTCTTGAATGGCTTTTTCAGGTATGGATTTTAACTGGCTTAGCAAAATATTATTTCCTTAGTTTTTTGTAATTAAATTTAGTTTAGCCTTTCAATTATCTTACGCTCCTTTAAAAATTGTCTTAAAAATAAGACTAGAACATATTTCAAAGTAATTTTTCAGACATTTTAAGGTACTTTGCGAAGCTCTCTATCGAATGTTTTTAGAACACTTCTAAAAAACAGTGTTTAAATATTATTTATAGACTTAAAAAAATCAATTAAAAATCCTCTAAAGACTTAACACTGTAAATAATACAAAATTTACCAAAATAATCTTTTTTTAAGATAAAACCCCAAGAAATAAATATAGTTTTTGAAAAATTTCATCAAATCTACCCCCGAATTCCCAGAAGAATTCCCCGGAAGAATTTCTGTCGGAAACCTAAAATCTCGCTGGCTGAAACCTTGGAGGCTTTCCCCTTTAAAGCAACCACTCACAGGCGCTGAATCTAAAGGACCAATCCGATGCCAGACGAAGTCCTCTCCGCCGGAAACCGACGCCTTGGCGTCTGGGGCATGCGCTGAATTGGCGGCGAGTGGAAGCGAGAGCGGAGAGTGCCGCCAAGTGTGCAAGGGAGAGAGCAGATGGAGGCGACGTGGCTGCCTTCGGGGGAAAGGCTGTGCCACAACCTTGGCTGGGGCGCGTGGCGCACGGCTCAAGGCTAACCTGTTGACAAAATGCACATTGCGCATACGCCCCGTGTGCCAGACGACGACCGACTCTGGCATGTCCAACAGGTAAGCCGCTGGCGTAGGCGTTGCACCACCTCTTCTGGCTGCAACCCCCTGACCTTGCCACTAGGACTGTGTGCCACCAAGGCCACGAAGACCGAAGCTGCCAAATAGTCTGCCAATGGAAACCGATCTGCGTAAACAAACCCATCGGAGCCAGGATGGCGGCGGAGAGCCGTCTACCTACAGGATATTGGCAGAGAACTTCTGGGTTGATTTTAATTAGGAAAAAAAAGGTTAAGGTATAAATATTTACAATAATGTTTATGTTTTTTAAGTTTTTAGTTATTTAATTTTAAACTGTACCAAAATTAGATACATAAATATTTTTAAAAGAACTCTTTATAAGAATCCTCGTCTACGAATTGTTCGAATATTATAGATACACTAGGATACTAATATTATTCTATAAGAATCCTTAGACCTTAAAAATAAATAAAACATTTAAAATACAATAAAAAAACAAACATCAAAACAAAATATGTCGGTTTATTAAAAAAAGAAAAGAAACCAAAACAAAAACCTTCAAAAATATAAACCATGAAGTACACTGCAAAAATAGAACATAACGCTCTTTCAAGCTATATTTTAATTCTCATTATTAAATAAAAAATAAAAATTTTTGATTTGAAATATATATTCAAGCCTAAAAATATAAAATACAATTAATTTAAACAGTTTGTCGATAAAGTCTTTAGATTGCAACATCAGTTGAAGCAACAGTGGATTGGCCCCTTTTCAGCGATTCAGCGAGCTGAGCGAAAAGCTTTCCCCTCCAGGAGGTAGTACCGTACTACAGTGATAACACTGAGTGGCCAACGCCGAATGCCGATGCCACCCCCCTACCCTTTTTGGTCCTCCGAGAATAAGACGGACCATTCAGCCCCATGGCGATACCTGGTGGGTAAGCCTGTTGCTGTTGCGACTGTTGCTCGTGTTGTTCGTGTTGATGTTGCTGTTGCTGCCACTGCTGTCACCGTCGTCACGGTCGTCGTTACAGTTACACACTTTCCACTTGTTGTTCCTCTCCTTCTTTTTATTGCAAGAGTGTGTGTTGCTGTGTGCTTGGGGGTGGTTGGGTTGGTTGGGGCTTTTTTTCCAGCAAAAGGAGGAGGCAGGCTGGCTGGCAGGACACGAAGGCCGTGCCGGAACCGAGCATGTCCTGCCTGCCACACGAGGCTGCCTCGTCGATGCGAATACAACGGAGCAACAGATGCTGTTCAACATCCAAACCAAACGGTTGTCCGACTCGGCAGGCAACAGAACATCAGGGACAAGGAACTCAGAACAAGGATCACAGACAGCCAGAAGACAGGACAGCACCAGCATCTGCCTATCAGGACAGCCAATCGAAATTAAATCCTTAAACCTTCTTCCTTCGGTCCACCTGCCATTATTTCGACGAAATAATCCAAATTTTTTTTCGAAAAAATCAACAAAAATAACAAAAGCCAACCAAGAATAAGAAAAAGAGATTGCCTCACCACATGTTGCACATGCAACAAGTCAGACAATATATTTTTTTTGAAAGTGCCAGTGCCAAAGTATTAAAGAGATAAAAACAAAGTGTGTTTATTTTTCGTGAAATGTTTTTTTTTTTGTAAATCACAGTAACAACAGCAACAACAAATAAATATCATAATTATCAAATAAAAAAATACAAAACCTACTAGAAATACCTGAATGCAGCCACCAAAGTACAACACAACTCAGAGCCCTATTACAAAGAGATATCATCGTAAACCTTAATTGAAATGCCTACAGATCAGATACCATATATTCATATATCAATATATACATATTGTATATTTACCTGAACGATTGTTACGGATGGAGTCTTGTTGCGATTGATTTGTAAGAATGAGAATATATACCAGATGAGAGCCATAATATAGAAAAGACACATGCATATATATTTTAAATGCCGAAATCAAAAGAAAAATTAAAGAAAACCTAAAACCATAAAATAAAAAAAACCAAAGAAAAAGGTAAACCGAATCACAGAATTGGAGAAATCAGTTTAAAAACCAAAATACCAACATGTAAGTAGTACTTTATGGTATAATCTTTACATGATAGATTTAAAATTATGTAAAATATTTATTATTTATATTTTGTATTATTTCGCATGAGAGCTCAGCTAATGGCCAGATATGGAAATCAATTAACAAATTGTTTTTGCCGCAGGACGTCCCTAAATGTTGCCATTGTTCTGGCCAATTAATATTTCAAGTCTTGGCCGCAGAACGAGGCTTCAATTATTTTCCAATTGTTATGCAAATTTTCATACAAAACTCCATTAAATAAATTGCATTTGAAATTATCCATATTCTGGCCAAAAAGTTGCTTAGGATTTCAAATGATTCTTTTTATTTAAAATAATATACATTTTATTTATGAATAAAATAAGACCAAACTTGATACAGTATTTAACAAATAATTTAACTGTTTAATTCATAAAAATAAAATCTTATTCAAAATAGTTTTGTGTTATTTTGTAAACTTAAAAACATTTGCCTTTTAAAACTTTCTTGTTTTCTGTAAAAAGTTTGTTTGTTTTCCTTAAAAAAAATCAAACCAAGGTAAGTACCAATAAGCTTGAAGTTAAAAGCTTGAAAGATAAAACTTAAAAACCTTATAAAGATTGTTTCAAAAAAAATATATGAGATTGTGTTTGCCGTCGCAATTAACTGATTGGCTTCTTCGCCAAAAATATCCTTCAATCAGGATACGAGTATATTCCCCGCAAAAGTACTGTCTGATTTTGGTGCAAAAGGGCATAACCATTGTGTTCCAGACGATGCTTGCTTTTAGCCAAAAACCAATTGTTCAAATATTTCTTCTTTTATTTTTTTGTTGGCCAAAAAGCAGAAGCATCGACTGGAGGACTATTGTTCCAGCCATCCTTCCATCCATCTCCTGGTGTGGCAAAATGAGCATTTATTTTTGGAAGCTGTTTACACAGACACACGGCCAAAATGATTGAATCGACTGCGATTGGGTGGGTGTATGATGGGTATAATGTGGGTGTCTGTGTGTCTTGTGGGTGTGTGTGTGAAAGTGTAAATGTGTTGGTGAGTGGCCCGAAGGCTTAGTTCAAAGGTGGCCAGGTGTAGGCCAATACGGGACTTTCGACAATCATTTGTAAAATCAGAGGCATTAGGCTTGCATGATTTCTGCCTCCTAACAACTCCCTGCCGTTGGCAAGGACACTCAAAAAAAAATTAAAATTATTTGGCGAGCTCATAAATCTTTAAAGATTATTTCTGAGAAAAAAACAAACCAAATTTTAAGCAAAAGCTTTTAAAACTTATCTGGAAAAATAAATTAATTTGGCTTCCAAACTGAACACTCCAAATTTTATAAACTTATTAGTTTTGAAATAGAATATTAAAGAATATTTCTATCAGTGTGTCCAGTGCTCGACTGCTCCCACGCTCATTAGTAGCACATTTACCGAGTACGTGATTTAGCTGCAAATGTGCAAAAAAGAGCTACGGACCGACACGATCTGGTCCTAGCATAATGATAACTGTTGCTTGTGCTTGTTATAGTCAACCGATTCCCCAGGACCTGCCGCAGAACCTTTCGCCTACCCTCCCCCGCCCTGCCCAGCAATCCTCTCATCAATTCCATTTCCCCTGATATGTGTACGTGTGCCAGTGGAACATTGGGGAATTCGTTACCCATTTACATTTGCATTTTAGCAGAGTAGCATGGAGAGTGCATTCTGGGTGTTGGCATTTACCTGCCAGCAAGGACCTCGGGAAGCACAGGAGACAACAGGAGACCAAACAGAACCAAGCAGGACATTTTCATTCGCCCATTTCTTGTCCATTCCTTTGCTTTTGCCCCATAAAGTGACAGTATCTGTATCGCATTCCTTTGCCGCCAGTTAACTTCTATCGATAAGTGGCAGTGGCACTAGAACTCTTTCAGAATTTCTCAAAAAACACACACACTGACAGGGACACACACTCAAGACAGCAACAAAAAAAGAGAAAGGGAAAAGGAAACTCACACACTGATCAATGGCTGTCACATTTCCGGTACACATGGCGGCGTTTCCGGGGAAAGGACAAGTTGATTTACACAGTCCCTTCCTTCCGCTTTTCTGCACAAACACACCCAAACACCCGCCCAGTCACACACACCGCATAGATATAGAAAAAAATATAAAGGAAAATGCACCTATAGAGTTACACTTATGGTTCAATGAAAATTTTCACTCAATTACGCTTTAAGACTTAATTCACCAAATTGAAGCAAATGTCGTTAACGGAAGTGGGCCAGCCCAGCCAGTCTCCAGGGCAGGGGCAGTGGCAGTGGCGTGGCGTGGCCACAGCGAGGGGATGCCAAGGATACAGGGGACACGGAGGGCGGGTCCTGGCAAATGCTTAAAAACCCAACTTAGGAATTCTGTTAGATTCTCTGGTTTTTGTGGAGAAAATAAAAATGTGGTTGTTGGTTTCTTATTTTTGCTTCTGTTTTATAGAAGCCGTTTCATTAAAAATGTTTAACTAAGAGTACAAAAAAATAAGCTACTTGTAGCTTAAATATTTAAAGGCTTTACAAGAAATAATCTAAAATTTTCTATAAAATAAATGACCTCGAAAGCTTGATCAGAAATGGGCTATTAGTTTCCCAAATTGCTTTAAAAATTAGTCCCTAATTAACTACTGATTACAAAAACAGTTCAACTAAATGTGTTTCCTATTTAATCTGCAATTTAAAAGCCCTCTAACCACTTAAATCGCCAAGCAAAAAAGCGATTGTGGAAATTCAACCTTCCCTAAGCTTAATTGCTTGCCAGTTAAAAGCTTTGCATTTACATATATATTTAAATACATATATATTTGCATATATAATTCCGTTGTTTTTATATTTTATTTTTTATTTGTTGAATAAAACCCCTTTGGTAAAATGTTGTGTCAACGTCTGTGCAGCCAGACACGCATTTGTGTGCAGAAACTAAACAAACAGCGCCCTTCTCCTCCATCATTGTCATATATCCTTTTTCCTGGCTTCCTGATGCTCCTGATGCGCCTGATGCTTTTCTCCATCAACTTTCTCCTGTCTATTCGACTACTTCTTTCTCCCCCACCCTGTCTGTGTGACTCACTCAGTGTGTGTGTTTGTCCTGGCATGTTGTGGTTTTCGATTCTCCAACAGAAACGACAGCAGCCGCAAAATAAAAAACATAAAGTACTAGACTATAATTATGGTTAATGGTTATGTACTTAAAAATACCCAAAAGCTTATGGGTTTAATTAAAAGAGTTCCTTTTAAATAAAATCTCGAAAAAGTCAGAAAAAGCTTTAAAAACAAGCTTCTTTCTTCGAAAGCAATCAACCATATAATTGCCAATCTTAAAGTAATTTTATTGGTGATGTTTTTTAACCCTTGAGGGATTACACATTTAACCCCTTGATGGACCTGTCACAGATTTGCAAGTTAAATCTTTATTTGTTGTCCTGCAATTCCTGCGAGATTTAGGAAGAAAAGCGAGCAAGAGAAACAGAAACCGAAAAAAAAAGAAATCCCTTCCAAAAAACCAAAGTAACATATGCAATGTTTCGCGTCCGTTGCTGGTAGAGCTGGTATAAATAAATAAATACCCAAACCACCAAGCCATCCACCTAACCATCCAACCACCCAGTGCCAGGACTAAGGGGCATCCTTTAAAAACAAGCTTCAAAATGCACTCAAGCGTTACAATCCTATCGATTTGATGCTGAAAATAAATCTAAAGCCCAGGGTAAAATTATATACTTGTACATATTTGCACGTGAGGCGTAGAGTTGCTTCTTTTTGGGTTAAAATCTCTACAGAATATGAATTTATTTTTAAAATAAAATATACAAATTGGTGGACTTTTAAAAGAAAGACATAAGAATTTCCAAAACTTGGCTTTTCTCCTTAGACTCTCTCTCTTTTTTGTAAAGCTATATCCTTAAAATAAAAGTTACATTTTTTTGGCATAAATGTAAATTTTTGCTGGGATCTGACATGTCCTGGAAAATAAAGAATACCAGAATGCTGTCCACTTGACAGAGTCAGAGAGAATGAAAGTAAGAACCGCAGTAAAAATTAACAGAACGCGACAGTACAAAGGTCCTGGCTGGAGGGCATGATGCACCACCCGAGACCCAACCAAAAACCACCAACTTGCAGGCAGTGTCACCTGCCGCCACCACCCACTTGGGGTAGTAGTCTCCCTCTTGGGGAGAACTGGCCACAAAAGGTGTATTCAAGTGTGTGGCATAGAATTTCCAGGCTGAATGCATGTCAAGAATTGTAAAGGCTGTTGCGCACACACGTCACACACCTGCCACGCCCAATGGCCAAGCGAGGCCTAACGCCCTCTATCCCCCCCCCCCTCTATCACCCAGCCAAGGTCATCATCATCAATGGGTGGGTGGCTTAATAATAGCAACTTACTCACCTCCCCAACCCGACCAAGGCTAATTACATAAAAAAAAAATCCACACCTGACAGCTGTCAGGAAAAATCAGGTTGCGGTTCAACAAAAAATTATAGATTATCCTTTGTAACTGTTAAAAAATATATATGAAATAATAACTTAAACATCATTTAATTTAAATATCCTCCGGAGCGTGGGAGAAAGCCATTGTAATTATTTTATATTAAACTGACATGAATCAAAAAGGATTATCGTCAAAAAAAAATTAATTAAATGTGAAATTGAAGGAATACCTTTCCCGATTTTTCTCCGAACATCGCGGGAATAAAATAAAGTTTTTATGCAAAGAAATAGAATAATAGATGAGCACTGGCATTGTGTTAAGGCGGGTTTATCCTTTGAAAGGAACAGCCAATTAGAAGGAAACAAAGGGGAGTCCTCGGCGCGCGATTTCTATCCAGCATTCCAAAGGTCCTCGAGAACAGCGGTTGTCTCTCCCGGTATTTGTTTATGAACCAGGTTCCAGGTTGCAGGACTCACAATCCAAAGGACTTAGCTATATGGGGAATTTAATGTTATTGTGTGGGTGTTTTTGTGTGTGTGGTCCTGGCTGGCTGA